AACACTGAATGGCACTTCGGTCGTTGCGCAAGTTTGAGATGTGTTTCAGTTAAAAAATAACGTCTTTTTGCATTTTTTGAACCTGACCACGCCGCGGTGCCCGCCCCTGTATTAGTCCTGATATCCGCTCTTATTGCGAAGTGCCACGCCACTGTTATTGCCTTTCGGAACTCAGCACCTGTTTTTTTTTTGTTTTTTTTTTCCCTATATTCTTCTCTCAAGTTCTGTTTTTGCCTTTTACTACCTACTCCTAAGGCTATCTAGGAGGGACCCCTGCAAGCATAACGGAAACTCGATTTTTCACTCCACACTTGCCCGATTGCCCCTTACTTCAATTTAGAGAAGTTCTCGAACAACTACCACCCTCAGACTCCTCAGTACACCATACAGAACCATTCCCCCTCACTGCCCTCAGCGTCAAACTGGTCTGGTCAGGCTCTTGTTTCTCGAAAACAACGAGGACTGTCCATGCACAGCATAGTTACTGTAGAGCATACAAGTTGATACAGCACGACGTTAAAGACCCCATTAATATTTTAATATCTTTAACGTCGGCGTGAAAATAGAAAGCTCTAGTGTGCATCACTCCTATCTGAGATCATTGTGGCAATTTGCGATATATATATGACATAATTTTCCTATTGAGTCTTGACCAGTAAGCAGCAGCAGAAGAAGAAATGATGATAAATATAAACAGGAAGAAGGAGAAGACGATGACGGTGATGAATAAAGAAAACAATAACCACAGAGGAAAAGGAGACGGGAGGAGTAGGAGGACGACGATGACGATGACGAGGGGTAGAAGGAGAGAAGAGAAGATGAAGAAGGCTGACGACGAGGAGTCCGAGGAGGAGAAGGAGAAGTAGAAGGAGAAATCGCAGACACTGTTCACAGGGAGGGTAGAAGAAGATTCAAAATTAAATCATTTACACACAGCTCTTACCGCCAAACAACACACATAATTATGCATTCCCTAAACGCGTATCAACTTATTTTTTTTAGCCACGTGTCAGGAGGACCATCCACGATCCAATCCAGTAGGGGGATCACTCCCCTATTCACCTTCACAGCACACAAACGCCACACTCTTCACTAACCTTTCCGATCAGATTCTCTCCTCTCCTCTTTCCCTCACTATCTTCCTTACCTGCCCAGTGCCCATCCTTCACTACCTCATCACCTCCGCCACACCGGCAAATTGCCTGTACTCTCGACTCTCGAGTCTCCACGGAAATCTGGAACTGACGTCCAATCGTCCATAGCTCACGTATAGACGAGCGTGTCGCATGAACCGCTACTCCACCCCAGCAGCGCCCTCATCACTCAAAGAGAGACATTGGCCTTACCTCAGTCTACATATATCCATGGATTCCACACTGCTCCCGGTGGCAGTCGACGGTGCCTCAAAAACTCGTACCACCCACAGGTTAATGGTCTCCCTTTTCAGTCCCTTGGTCCAGGCTAAGGGCCTGAGCAGGCTGAGCTCGTTTTTTTGGGCCAGTGTCCAAAATTCTCCAAATGTCAGGGACCCATGATCCTTACTGATTGCAGTGCCCAAAACCCACCAGGCGGCGAGCACTGCGATCCCACCATTTTTTGCACTTTCATCATAAGTGCCCGTATAATACATTTGAGTGCCCAACCGTACCGTAGTCAGTCTAAGTCAGAAAGCTTGCGTGAAACACTCCAAGCCCGAAATACCAATCCAAACCGTGCCAAAAAGTACTTTCCAAGTTTCCATCGATAAAAAACAAAAGACCAGAGAGAACCGGAAAATTGAAGATTTCCACTCTGTTTTTTAATGCTCGTAATTCAGACCCAGTGCCCCGCTAAACTGCTCAGGCCATACACCATCTCGGAAATCGCCAACACTGTGGCCGAAAAGATGAGAGAGAGAGAGAGAGAGAGAGGCACACACACACACACACACACACAGAGAGAGAGAGAGAGAGAGAGAGAGAACCAGAACTGGTGACAACTTACACACAGTGCCACACAGGCGAATGGACTTCCTGGCCACCAGTCACCAGCCAGTTACGTACCACCTTGTTACGGAAGACAAGCTGCTGTGGTATAATAGGGGATATATTACCCAGTTACCCATTTTCGGGGGGGGGGGGTAAACCTGTGAGAGATCTAAGATCTGCAGGGACCACCCACCAGCTTGGGAAACTGTGCCAGAGAACCAACAAAGACGAAGATGAAGAAGAATGACAGTAACGGTGAGGAAGAAGAAGAAGAAGAAGAAGAAGAAAGAGGAAGAAGAAAAGAGGAAGAAGAAAGCAGAAGCAGGCTTAAGCAGCAAAAGACCGAATAACAGGAGTGAGGAATGTATGAGGGATGTCCTTCGGCCCTTCGGGACATCAGTTAAATTGGACTGATACAGAGAAGATTAGCATGGCCCCTGTGCAAGGTCCTACGCCCGGCAAGGATGGCACACATAAATCCAGAAATGGTCCCTCCCCAAAAAAAACAACAACAAAAAAAAAGTCTCGAGGGAAGGAGTAATAAAGAGGGAATTAATGAGAGGACTGCTCTAAGAAACAAACGATAATGATCCCTTAATCCACCACTGCTTCCCACACTGCTCTAAGAAACAAACGATAATGATCCCTTAATCCACCACTGCTGCCCACACCTCCGTAGGGTCACTGCAGCTGTACATAAGATGATAAGAGTCATAGACCCTGATAGAGGTATAAGAGGCTATGATACAGTGCGGTCAACAGGGTGCCAGTCTGCCAATCCGCCTTAGATCTATCTTCAGTCAAAAGGTTGGGTTTGCTGTGAACTTTGGCAACTCTTAGACAGGCTTGGTAGCAGCGCTGGACCGCCGCTGGTGCAAGAGTGGAGCAACTAACACAGGATGCAATCCGATGCATTACTATGAAGCTTGGGCAAGAACCTGATGCGTAATAGGCAAGTGTGATGCAGCCCCCTCTGTCCCTTCAATCTGCTCTGCTTGCTGAGAGATGAGGTCTGCAGATTTCACAGATCCTGAGTTCTCGAGACTCGTGAGGACCATGCACGACCTCTTGAAATCTTGAACTGTCAGGCCAGACTCGCCAGAGTGCATTTAAAAAAATGAGTCAAACAGACAGTCTGAGACAGAGACTGGCGTGAAATAGAGACCCGGGCCGTGTGCGTGGAATCGCCGTGGATGGTAGAAAAACGTAGCTCGTGATAAACAATCATGATTCATGAAGTTCAAAGTTGAACACAAATGCAATCTTATTAACGAGTACAATATTGCTGGGGACTAGCTCCTTGAAAGAAAGAAAGAAAGGAAAGAAAAGGTGGACAAGAAAGAAAAAGAAAGACATTGATAAGAATTGCACCCAAACAAATTCAGCTGTACGATTGTTCGGGAGTCGTTTAAAAAAAAAAAAAAAAAAAAAAAAAAAAAAAAGTCGGGCAGTCATGGGGCCATTCTGGCCGTGACTCCCCCTGGTAGTTTTAGACTTGGATCATTGTGCCAATGACTCACCTAGGTCACACTCACTGAAGTTATTGTCCTGGAGTCAGGCTCAAGTAACTAGAGATAAGCTCCCAGTTACAGTTACTTCCCAGCAAGTTCCACATGCAGCATATTCAACCGCGACAATGCAGAGACAAGGTTTGCTACATCATGCGGCGACAAGGTTTGCTACATCATGATGGCGTCTTGCTTCCTGCTATAATTATTTCAGCGTGGATGGTCAGTCTGGTTCGTCAATTACTGCGAAGGGATCGCTCGAAGGGTACGCTGAGTCAAGCCTACTAGCATGTTCGCCAACTCCCAGAGTCCCACGAAGGTCAGGGTGGAGGGTAATCTCCCCGTCTCTACACTGCACACCTCTCCCCTTCCCAAGGATCTGCTGATTTTTCTCTACTGCCTGTCATTTCGTCTCTTTGTCCATAGAGCATGATCGGGCAGTACTGCCTGAGCATCAGCCGAGCTACATGGGGATTCGGGCAGTACTGCCTGTTAGTGCCTGAGCATCAGCCGAGCTACATCGGGCAGTACTGCCTGAGCAGTGAGCATCAGTGGAGCTACTGTAACATTGGGCAGTACTGCCTGAACATCAGCGGTCTCATCAATGACCAATCAAGGCTCTCTCTGAATCAAGGCTCTCTCTGAGTCTGAAATTGATGATTTTGGCTATAGACAATGGAGGGATCATCTCCTCCCCTCGAAGATATTCTTCTACTCCCAACATTTCCGCTATATGTCTGCAAAGCAGCACATTACTGCCTGTGCAGTGAGCATCAGTGGAGCTACATTGGGCAATACTGCCTGAGCGTCAGCGATCTCCTCAATGGCCAATCAAGGCTGTCACTGAGTCTGAAGTTGATGATTTTGGCTAGACATTGAAGGGATCATCTCCTCCCCTCGACGATATTCTTCTACTCCTCCCAACGTTTCCCCTATATGTCTACAAAGTAGGAACTCGCACTCGGAGAAGAGGACGGAACAGCGTGACGACGGTGACGTCGCTATTTCCTCTGTAGCAGCCAGTGACAGCAGCCGCTGCAGCTGGTGCTTGCCTCCTCCTTCAGAGTCCTTCCTCATGAGGCAGCTTCAGTATTAGGATATGGGAGTACGTACATAGGATGATATAGGAACTCAACTCTAGCTTCAATTAAGTCACTTGTGAGAAAATACTTGCCAATGGGGAAAAAACGTATAGATAATAGATCTGCCCCGCGACAACAGGTTTGTCCTCGTTTGCTCCCCCCGAGGCCTTGAAACTTGAAAGGCTTGAGGTAGGGGGGGGGAATCTGTAACTTTGGCCGCCAGCTTTCGGGGCCTGTCGAAACCTTTTGCCAAATTTGCCTTGGTGACTTGGTCCGGGGCTGAACGAGTACCAACATTTTTTTCGCACGGAGGATATATTATTAATATTACTCTTCCCAGAATGGTCTCTTCACTCTCTACTTTCTTTCAAGGCATCAGCATACAGGACAAGGCAAAGCTTAAGAGTCTTAGACAGCTAGTGGGAGTGTCTCCGAGTGAGGCATCATTACCCCGGAATTTACTCCTTTGGAATCCTACAAGTATAACAACTTGACACAAGCGGGCATGTCCTGTACTTAGGGGGTGAGAGCCTCAGGCTCCAGCTGCAAAGGTGAAATATGGGGATGCGATCGGCCCCCACGAAGGTCTTTGAAACATTCCACTTAACCCGAATTGTCTGTATTGGAGATATGGAGTCATTGGATTGCCTCCTGGAACAGGGGAAGGATACAAAGGAATGCCCCCACCTGGCCCGCCATGATGTCCTGGAAATGCTATTCCTTCTGGTGGGGAATGTGCATGCCCCACAGATGGGATCCCGTTGTAAACAGGCGGAGCAAACTGATATCCGGCCGCTATACAATCCTCAACAGGTCGCGCAACCTGACATCTGGTCCTCGTACAATCTGCACAGTTTACGAACTTGCTTGCACGCCGCTGTTGTTTCTGTGGCTGCGGCTGCAGACGTGGCGGCGGCGACATGCAGCTATTCACCATACTGGGAGGAGCAAAACACGACTCCTTTGAAGCAGTGCGTTGCTTCTTGAGTTGGTGAAAGCGCTCCTTGCGTCGCTGGCGGCAAATTGCTCGGGCTTGCTCCTCGTCTGTTGCCACATTGCTGCTGTGGATATCCTTGGGCAACGAAATCCTGTCGGAAAGGGTACTAGGCCCATCCGATCGAGTTTTATCGCTTTCCAGGGGGCACTGGGAGGGAGGGAGTCCACCAGCGGCTGCTCGCATTCTGCTGTGAGGGTTGCCGCTATTCCCATTACTTGTGTAGTGCTGCTCATGGCAGAAGCCCTGATCTGGTCCCACTCTGCTCATGTCCCCCGCAGTGTTGTTAGAGCTTCCCTGCTGCTCAGATGAGGCAGGACCACTCAACGTCATTCCCTGGTTAACGTCATCGACTGTGCTGGCGACATCTTCTGCGTCCTGACCCTGACCCGAAGAAGGCTTGTGCTGCTCCCCTGCTATGCAAAAGCCAATTATTCCAGATGCAATCAACCAATCCAATCGAGAGCAGAAAATCGATCAGTACTGATGTCCAGCGCCGATAAAGCAAATAATTGCACAGACAAGGCTAGCACTTTCGCAACGCATTCTGGAATAGACAGATTGTACTGACCGGGTACAGCATGTCATTGAGAGTATTATTATTTGCATCAAATTGCATGTTTCAAAATCGAACAATGTCACTGAAAATATGGGGTTACAACTTAAAATTTGAGGAGTGGCACGGTATATTTCAACTGATTCATTAAACAAAACAAGCTGTGACTTGCAGTGGTAAATGCCGCGGCAGGTCGGGTGATGTTACGACGCCTGGTGGTACAAATAACCCCCCAAAAGAACAGAAAAAAAAAGCAAAAAAAACACACAACGGTCTGAACTGAAAGCGGTTTCAAAAAAAAACAAAACAAGAACAGAGAAAAAAAGCAGCCACGGGACCGGAGAGAAGTGAAGGATGGCATACTCACACAGGAACATTTTTCCTGGCCCCGCAAAGAGGTTTTCTTTCAAGGGAGAGACAGAGCTCCGGGTGTCATTGCATTCAGTTGCGTGGAGCTCTCACCTAAGTAGCAGTCTGAGTCAGATACATTAAAGTGCTGATGTGCCCTAACCTAAGTAGCAGTCTGAGCAAGAAGTGGGAGTGTAAGTGTGCTCTTAAGTCCGACTGTGACTAACACTGAGCATGCCCCAAAAAGGCCCCGTGTCAGTATGCCCTAACTAAGGAACTGTCTAGTATCTACCAGTCAGAAACATTCGAAAGAAATCCCACTGTGAGTATGGCCTAGGGAGCTCTCCGGCCGCAATAATAGTAGGATTAGATCATAGATAGATGATCGATAGATAATTTAGGGCATCGCCACACCGCTCTCGAAATGTGAAAACGACAAAAATGTGGCGGGCGCATCTTGCCATGTTCTAGCGGGAAGTTCATTCTCATTTCGCACATTTCGACAGTGGTGTAGCTTAAAAGGGGCAAGTGCGTTTCAGGGCCAGATCCCACTGGTAAAGAAGATTGGAACAAGTGTCTGAATCTGGACGTGTTCCACACACAGATGCAGAAAAGTAGATCAACCACAATACTTCGCACCTGTCCACAAACACGTCCACATTCAGACACTTACTACAATCCTGTTTGCCACTGGGATCTCGCCTTCAGTCACCATCAAGTTTGGAATGGCCCCAAAAAACTCAGCTCACTCACGTGACGAGTTTGCGAAATAGGCAATAAAAATGAAAACACTGCGCGACTTCGGACGGAATACGCGGGTCAGGTTCTTTTTGGCACACTGGCGCGGGGTCGTGGTGCGCAGAATGCCGTTTTATGTTCTTTTTGGCAGTTTCTGCCAGTGTTCAACAATGGCGCCGCGACAGACCTACCTGCCGACATGGAACTTTCTTGCCTTCTGAAACTCGAAACGTAACGCGGCCGCACTTGTTCCCAAAAGAAAAAGTTGTCCTTCGGGACATTCGTTAAAATTGGAACGATACAGAAGGAGAAAGACAAGCAATGGCCGATTGCTCTTCACACGCAATTCACAGGATATTGCAGCCAAGAATATACAAGCGTGTACTCATGCTCGAAAACGCGCACGCGTTCCCCTACATGCTTCAACCGGGTGCGCTCCGGTCTCATCAGGAGGCTAACCACTTGCCCAGTGCCTTACGGCCCTCCATGACTTGCCACCCTAGCATGGCCCCTGCGCAAGGATGACACGCATAAATCGAGAAATGGTCCAAATTCAAAAAAAAAAAAAAAAAAAGTTGTGGCATTTGGCCTCGTTGTTTGTCGACCTTTCATTCGTCTGAAAGATGCCATAAGCATAACATTGGGCAGAATAAACTTTTTTTAACTTCATTAATTTAAAGCGAAGAATGAGTCGATCAGATCCACGGTGACCTCTGTGGAACTTCGCCTGAGAGACACCAAAGCCGGTGGTGCGAGATATTTTTGCACAATGAACTGAACGTGATTGCAATTGTGTACACTGTACTTGTTCCTTTTTCTTCTCCCACTTTCTCCTCTTTTGACTTGTCTTACGTCCCTTTAGAGCCACATACAACCCCTAAACACGTCGCTCAACTGTACACACACCCGCAACACCAGTCAAGCATAGACCATTGTCGTATAGTGACAATCGCTACCGTCAAATTGCGTCCATACCCCTCACTCGCCGAACAGCTTCATGTCCTTTTACGTAATCTGGTTACTCAAAATCGGAGATGCGTTCTAAGTGAAGGCACCTGCGCTTCTTTTGAAGCGGGAACAGTCTTCCCCCGAATACAACGTGCGGTCACTATAGCTATATTTGTGGCATCTTTCACTCTAGATTGAGCGATGATGACATACCATGCGGTCTCTTCAAGGGGAGACGGTAACCCCTATTAACATTATTGCATTCCTCCAATTTGGTCATGTCCGGATCTGAGCTCATCTTCTGTTTGTCAACTGTCACATGTGTGTACCATTCAGCCACACGAGCCAAATGACGAAGGCACCTTCCCCCCCCCCCCCCCCCCCCCGCAACCCCGCAAAAAAAAAAAGTAGGAAAACGATTTCTGAGTTCGAATAGGCAGCGACATATTCTGAAGATACGAGATGAAAGCTACCTTCTTCCCCCGAATACAACGTATGGTCACTATAGCTGTATCCAGACTGACAGATCCCTCAAATACAGCTATAATGAGCGTTCATTGTATTCGGAGGAAGAAGGTTAGTTTAAAAGTTGGCCTCCACACAATATCGATCGATTAGCATCTTCCATAATCGCGGCCAGTGATCTACACATGATCCATGCATGCAATGCAATGTGACAACGAGATCGAGAAAAAAACTGACCCAAGAGAAAAATTGAACAGATGCAGATTTCGATTTGGAAAAACGAAGGCGCAGTGACGGTTTCAGCTTGAAAATGGCTTCAGTCACGATTTCGCGAATTTTGTGCCAAGCCTAGAGACGAAAATCGTATGCAGCCTAGCTTTAGGGTCAGGTGGGGATGTGGTATTCGAGGGATGCCTGAAGTGGATTTAAAACTGAAATCGCTACTGCGCCCCTTTCAATTTGATATTCACAACAGAGACGTAACACTACTGGCCATTTGGCCGTATTGAAAGCCGTCGGAACCGCGACTGCGCCCTAGGTACCTACCCCTTTCCATTTGAAATTCACGACAGAGGCGTAACACTACTGGCCATTTGGCCGTATTGAAACCCGTCGTAACTCTTCGTTAGCTTCCGATCATTTGTTATCTGATATATCAGTGCCCTGTTCCAAGTTTTCCAACTGTTAGTGGCTAGTTCTAGTGGGCCTAGTGGCTAAACAAACAGTTTTGAGTTAGAAGGCTGGCTAGTTCTAGTGGGCCTAGTGGCTAATCAAAGAGTTTTGAGTTAGAAGGCTGGCTAGTTCTAGTGGGCCTAGTGGCTAATCAAAGAGTTTTGAGTTAAAAGGCTGGAATCGCTGCATTGTGGAAAGTGCTTCCACGTTCTAATTCATGTGCAGGAGTCAGCAGGACGGCTTCCCTAATATCCCTATGATTCACTCAGCTGTAAGGTCATGCATAGGTCAAGGTCAGGACACCGCTGGACACCGCCATACCTTGAGAAGCCAGAGTGTTCTGCAACTCTCTGTTGATCGTTCCTGCGACTCGTGAACTCTGCGCCGTCTGCGGCTCCATCGCCCGGGTATTTTTTCCTCCGTTCGAGTCTCCAAGATTGTACCTAGCGTGTCTCTGGTCGCCGCATTGTGCCTGCAGTCACAATGAGAAGTCACAGCAAACAGTTCTGGGTATCATTATCACTAGCACCGGACGCAAAGTAGGAACGCTGAGTCCGTGAGTCCCTGAGGCCAGAGGCCTAGGGGTCCTTCGCTGTGAGACTGGAACCCGATAAAGCTGCAACCAAACCTCTATTTTTGCAAACGAAACTTCGAACGGACGACATTTTTGCTGCCAAACTTGGAAGGAGCAATATTTTTGCTATTAATTATAATCCATAAAGTAATGATAAAATAAAATAATAATAAAAATCGAAATCTATGTCGACATCGTTTTCGTCGCAATGATTCCGAAATTCTCGGTCAGTCCACATGTATCTGCTCGCTGCGCTGTCCACATGTATCTGCTCGCTGCGCTGTCCAGATACGTGTCGTCGAATGTTGGGCTGTGAAGCGAAACCCATAACAACGTAGACATCCATGTACGATGTGACAAAAGAGGAGGGACCATTTGCCGAAAGAGAAACACCAGTCTCACTGCGAGGGACATTACACTGGGACAAAGAAATGCCAAAGAAATGCCCTATTTCATAACACGGACGGTCTTATAGCTTTTCTTTCAGTCATTTACTGACTGTTGGTGGGCTTCCCTGTTTTCGTCGCTACCCATGTTTTGCTTCTGTCTCAAGTTTTGAGAGGACCGAACTCACGACCAGACAGATTAAAACAAGATATTTGACTCAACTCGTAAATCTTTACAGAACATATTCGAATTCCAGAATCGACATGCATGTACACGTATAGCTGTTAACAAACAGATCGTGCGCTCAAATCCAGCCGGCCTACAGTGCCGCTACATTCAACATGATTCAAGAACGTTGCAAATATCGCAATTCGACTCATTCATCAATCTTTACAGAAATCATTCCAATAATTGAATCGCCATTCATGAACACGTACTAGTTCTTAACAAACAGCTTTAAATTTTCAATAGGTACTATTCAAGAATTTCTTATATTGATGATCCTATTTATTAGATTATAAATTATCATAAATTTGTATATTATAAATTTGTATGCAAATACAATGAAATAGATAAGGGATTCCATTAATATTTATCATATTCACTATTTATACGATGTGCGCTCGAATCGAAACAACAATGTCAGGGGCCAAATTCAACACTCAGAACGTTGCGAATATCGCAATTTGGCTCATTTCACAAAATCTCTGCAGAAATTATTCAAATTCCCGAGCCAACATTCACGTAGACGTAGCTATTAGCGGACAGATCTTCTGCTCAAATCTAGACGGATGGGTACAGCAGCGTTAGCGACTGAATTCAACGCTAAAGAACCTCGCAAATATCGCAATTTCACCAAAAAGACTTTTAACGGCGACTGAATAACAGAGGCGCTCGGCCACTGAGGACTTTCATTGCTCGCCTCGTCGTAAAAACACAATGTCATTCACGATAGGCTGCGTGTAGCAGCACAATCACGCGCGAGTCCTTCCTGTTGCTACTGCGTATGCTGTGACATATGCATTCACAAAGGTACGGCAAAAAATATAATGACGAAGGAGCTTACGTAACCTAAATTTCTATACAGTCGGAAATAGGAACATGGGTTGCGTGCAGTAGCGTGTAGTTACGTGTAGTACACACCCCCGCCCGAAGACCTACCAGCAAAAGGAACGTGGTTTCATTGTTTTTTTTTTCACCCCGGTTTCACGGCTGTAGGACCCGTAGAGCAATGTTCCTTCTTCCGTTCTTCGTGACCGTCGTCTTCTTTGTTTCAACTGGTCGAGACACTCTTTCGTGGGATTTCCAAGAAGTCCAACTTCCTTTAGATTGGGTGCACAAGTTCTACAGAGTATAGTACATGGTGTGATCGTTAAGTTCTATCGCTATATTACCAGAAGGCATATTCTTTAGCTGTGTGAACAGTCAACACGGTGTTGGGAGAGGAGGGGGGGGGGGCTGTTCATTGGTTGAACATCGGTGACCTGCCTGTCACTGACATACCCATCTGCTGTTAGCCTTGGCCGCGGGACTTTGATCATAATAGCAATACAAGATAAACAATCGACTGAGGTCAAGAAAAAGGACCTACAGTGTTCCACCGAATACAACGTACGGTCATTATAGCTGAATTTAGACTGAAAGATACACCAAATTCGGCTATAATGACCGTGCGTTGTATTCGGGGGAACACTGTAGTCATTCCACAAATGAAGCGTGGGGAGTGGCGGAAAGGAGGTTCCATTGGTTGAACATCAGTGAACCTGTCTGTCCCTGACATAGCCATCTGCTGTAAGCCCTGGGCACTGGACCCTGATAATAATAGCAATACAAGATAAACACAAAGTACAGAACGGAGGGCCACGGTGGTCAAGGGAAAGGAGTCAAAGGACCTAACTTACCCATTCCACAAATGAAGCACTCGTCTCGCGAATGACCGCAGCGGCTGTTTCGACCGCGTTCTCCTTTCGAGAGTACTCCAAGTGGCACTTCGTGTTGAACTTCACCGCAGATCCAGGAACGGTTACCCCTCCCGCCGCCTCGAAAAGATCGTCGCCTCGCTGCTTCTGCGTCCACGCACCGCGACGAATTTCCATCTCCGTCAACGCCGAAGTTGCGGCGATCAGGTCCGTTTGACTTGTATTACGAGGGGCAAAGCCGTCATTTTGCCCCCTAGACGGAGGGACAAGGCCGCCACTTTCCCCAGTAGACGGAGGGGCAAAGGTGCTGCTGATTCGCTGCTGCAGCTGTTCTTCGTCTTGCCCGCGTGTTTGTAGATCGTGCTGCTGTCGACGCTCTGAATCTTGCCGTGCCTGGGACCAAATGGGACCCGGAGTTTCACGACGGAACGCCGCCGCACTGGCCGCAGCGGTCTCTCCGTCGAGGCCCCGCCATGTTTCCCCCGACGAGTTGTCAATGACCGAGCGGCGGCGGCCCGCCGAGTCCTCCTCTATTGTGCGACTCCATCCCCCTCCTCCTCCACCTCCTCCTCCAACTACTGGCAATCCCCGGATGCTTCCATCCTCAAGTTGTTTGCCCGATCCATCTCCATGTTGAACCAATACAGAGCTGAAGTGATCACGCTCGCTGGAAAGATCCGTCGGCGGCATCTGTTTTTCTCCCGTCCACCCGATTGCGAGACCGAGCATCGGTCCTGCCAAGGGGTCAACCTCTGCCTCCGCTGCTTCTGTTGCCTGCATTTTTCGCTTCTGGCCGCTATACTGCTGCTGTTGCTCCTCCTTCCTGGCCTCCTCGTCTACCCTCCTCTTGTCATGATCCGCCGCCATGCCTCCCCGCTCCATTGTACGAGGCGACTCCTCTTGCGTCGCCATATCCTTTGGCGGCGGGGATCTCCACCATTGCCGACGATGTACGGGAGCGCAGAAGTTGCCGATCGGCGACGGCGACGCATTTCTATCAACGGTGTGATTAGAGAAATTCCCACAAGTCGGAGAGCGCAGCGGAACCGGAGAGCGCGCGGTCGCTCCAGGAGCAGACGGCGGGGGAGGCAGCATGGCACGTGGCAGGATGGTCATGGCGGCAAGTTCGGCGTCTGGGCGAACGGCGGCCGTCGCAGAGAGACAGCGGCTCCCGATAGCGTCGGGACTCGCCATCTCCTTCGCGACGACTCCCGTCGCTGAGAAGAGATCGCACCCGTACGGCCCTTTAGCCCCATTCCGGTACGACAGCAGCGATGCTCCCAACACTCCCGCGGGAGGTGGTGTCTCTTGTCGCCCAGCATCAGCGCACCCTGCGCTCTCCCTCTCCTTCTTCATGGGAAAATCCTCAGCTATCGTCCCCACCCCTCGGGTCAAACAAGCGGCATCGTCTGACGAAAAAGGTAGGGGGGAAGTCGAGTCCTCTGCCGGCCGTGGCCGGGCACTGGTAAGACGACAGCCGGCCCAGTCAGACCCGGTAGGAGCAGATCCCCCCCCCATCCTCGACAGTAGAGATTGCGACTCCAAATAGCGTTCCCCGCGACCTGCTCCTCCTCCTCCCCCTCCTCTTTCAACCACTTCTTCCCTCAGATTACGCCTCCAATGGTCTCGATCATGAAAACGGTTAAACCCTAACTCTCTCGGACCGTTCTCACAGATCTTGACGACACCACAGTCAACGGACGCGGGCGGAGGAGAGAAAAGCGACCCCGAGACCGCGGCCTTCTCCTGGATCTCCAGCTGTCGGAGATCAGAAGGCTGATTTTGGTCAAAGCCATGGCCCAACGAAATGAACGGGGACCAAGACGAGCTGCTTGTTGCCGTCTCCTCTAAATTTTGACGAAACCAATTGCAACTGCTAACGGAGCTCTGCCCGCCCGTCCAGCCACCGGACAACTGACTGCCAGACGGTTCCCCGGTGTGCAATGCCCTGCTGCCACCCGTACAGAGTGTCAGATTCAGATTTACCCTCCGTTGTTTGCTAACGGGGAAACGGCGATGAGGCAAAAGAGAACCACGTCCCTGCTGCACAGACGTCAGGCGCAAGGACAGTCCCAGATCCATCACGGACGATGGCAAACCAAACCCTGAGAGGATGGCTATGCCCGCAGCCTACGTAATTACTAGCTGCTGATCCCACTTCAGCGCTGACTGGCTTACACTTTTGACTCTTCAAGACTTCAACTCTCACACACAAACGCTACTTCTCGCTCCCTCCCAACGCAAACCACCTAGTTCCCTAATCTATCGGAACTCGATATCGTTGTTGTACGAGATCGGCGTCGTGTACCGCACGCACTCTACCACTCTATTGCTCACACTCACTCACTCGCCACCTCAATGACACTCTATGCTCGCAACCGACAGACTAGTTGACCTAGTTTTCACACAGATTTCAGAACGGCCCTCTCTCTCTCTCTCTCTCTCTCTCTCTCTCTCTCTCTCTCTCTCGCTGCTGTGTGTGTGTGCGTGTGTGTGTGTGTGTGTGTGTGTGTGGGTGTGCTCGCAACCGATAGGCTAGTTGACCTTGCTTTGACTCGGATTTCAGAATGGCTCTCTCTCTCTCTCTCTCTCGCAACCGATAGGCTAGTTTACCTTGCTTTGACTCGGATTTCAGAATGGCTCTCTCTCTCTCTCTCTCTCTCTCTCTCTCTCTCTCAATGAATACTTCAATGGCACAAGCTAATTTGACTATCCGTCAGCCAATCTACCTCCACGTCACGCTCGCTCAGATTTCGGAACAGACTCCAATGACGCGATGTGCGTCGAGGTCCGACTTGAACGCATGCATTCTCACAGAGGATGGCGCGCAGCGCCGCAGCGGCCTTACTTTCCTCTGACGGTCTGACCATCACTCGGTGACCGTGTGGAGTGTTGCTTTGACGTAACAGTGCGGACTCTGGAATACAGAGCCTCCACTCTCGATACGATATAGCAATAAACCTTCTCAAGGTGCGATGGCGGCGTGTGGCGTCCTCTCGTCACCTACTGTCATCATGAAACACTCCCTAGCTTACCGGCTTCGCGGGTTGTCCAGCCGTGTCAACGATAAGGCGAAATAAGTAACGAACTCGATTGAAAGTCCTTAAGTGCCCCTCGAATACTCGGCGACTCAAGTGCTCCTTCTCGGGTTCTCGAGCCGACAGACGCCGCTGAGACGCGTACTCACTACCTCCTGACTGTTGTATGGGAGGAAAAGGCGAATGTCTAACTTCGGTCGGCAGCTTCCGAGGCAAACTCGCTACTGCATTCATGCATGCACGTGCACGAGGAGGTACAGTGGGAATGCACGACTACGTGACCACTATGCAGGAGCAGATCATCCGCCTGGCCGTCCGTAGCGCGCAGGTGCATTCTCACACAGCTCATTTGGATATCAGTTTTGGACCCTATGTGAACGATCTGATTTGGTATTTGGTAGACCCTCTAGCACGGCACGCCTTCCCACTTGCTTTGTCAAGTTCGTCTTGCCCGCCCTGCCGGGTTGTTCCGGCAAGAACTATGCATGCATGCCAAAAAAAAAAAAAAAAAAAAAAAAAACTGTGCATGCCTGTCCCGCGAAGCACGTGCCGACATCGCTGTGCAACTTGCTGTTTTTTTCAGCCGTTTTTCGTCGATGTGTTGCGTCGCACAACATGCAGAGTCCCTGTGCCGACGTGGCCGCCACATTCTCCATTGGGTTAAGTGCAAAAAACTTGCGGTTATTCTCCCTGGCCCATCTCTCACTTGTGGCGGCTGCCGAAGATGTCCAATCGAGCACTTGGTTCAACTTGACTCTACGCTCCAAAAGCTAAGAGCGGGACTACAAGAAAAAGAAAAAAAAACAACTAACTGTTTGCGCTCTGTGGAGTTTGCCCTCAAGAAAAAGACAAAAACATCGACTAAGCGCTCGGTGGAGTTTGCCCTGCCGGTAAGACGGGGAGCTTCCCCTATCCATTTCCCTCCCTTGCCATGCATCTTTGGACTGAGCCAACTTCAGCCTCGCTGCACTACACAGCACTCCACAAACATTTAGACGCTTTCTCGACCCGGCGCACTCAAGATGTTGAACTCATCAAAATGAAGCTGGTCCAGAAAGCGGCCAAATGCATGTAGCGTGTTGTGTAGTGCAGCGATGACGTAATCGCGCACTTGGCAAGTGGACTCCGCGTCCGTGCTTGGCCCCGTGTACACTTCTTTCCAAGACGGCCGGCCTATGGGCAGGTTGGGTCTCACGTCCCGAGAACAGCTTGGTATTAGCCGGGAAAAAAAAAAAAAAAAAAAAAACACTAACCGGAGCTGCTTCCCACGTCCACTTGGCAAGCCTGGTCTGACAGCCACTCGAACACAAGGCACCCTAACGGTACCTGACCGCGGGCAATAGCTTGTATACAGGGTGCGTTGTGTTCGGGGGCGGGGTCCCACTAGCAAAGAGGTTCGAATTAGGAGCCTGAATCTGGATACGTTCTTGGCGCAGATGCAGAAAAGCAGATCAGTCACGGTTTGCTGCATCTGTCCTCGTTCACGTCGAGATTCAGGCATTTCAAGACAATCCTCTTTGCTAGTGGGACCTCGACCGGGGGGAAGATGGTAGTATGAGTATGCCCTTAGCACAGTAACTACTGTCGTTCCCCTGACCACTACGCGCCCTCTTTTTTTTTTTTTTTTTTTTTTGGCTGTACCTGCCCGGAAATATTCAATTCTATACATTCATAATTAGGGTAAGCTGTGCTGGGGTAGTACTTCACTAGTAGAAAAAGTCCGAGTGTGAGTGAGTATGCCCCAAGGCGGGAAGACGGGCAGCGGAGCTATCCCAACCTTCTATCTTTCGCATTGTTACGGCGGCGGGAAGACAGGGAGCGTCCACTGCCGACTCTACGAGGAACTCCACCGCCGATTCTTCGAGAATTCCTCGAAGAATTGCGGGCTCCACTGGCGTTTCTTTTTTTTTTACATTTCCTAAGTTCACTGACCAATTCCCTGCAATCACTGAAAGTGGGAGTCCTCTGTTCTCCGCGATAGCGTGCTGACTCTAGGGTTTGAGACTGCGTGTGCTGCTATCTTTTTCTTTTTTTCTTTTTTTTTTTCTTTTTTTTTTTTTTTCTTTTTTTTTAAAGCATCATTCGTTTCATTCCACATCAAGAAAAGAGGCCGGGGACCTCACAATTCAACCCGGTGAAACAGAGTTATCTCAGTCAGACCAACCTGGCTGTGATCAAAGCAACACTCGTACCGACCAGACCAACCTGGTAGACAAAGCAAAGCTATTCTACTATTCTCACTCACACAGACGGGCCCTGGCCCTAACGCGGGCCTGTGCCCTACATACCATGGCAAGGCAGGAAAGACCACCGAGTGATAGGTTAGGTCCGCCTAGATAGCCTTACTCACTACATTAACTATCTAACCAACCCCTTTTTCGCTATCGAACCCACCAGATGATGCTTGAAAACACACCTATTACTAACATACCACCAACAGAGTTTACTTTCCGAACCCCGATTCCCATGTCACTACCCCATGCAGCCCAAATTAATCTACCCCCAGCCATGGGGACCAAACCAGTTTTCCTGTTGCGGCCGAAATTGCCACCAGTCTGTTTTTCTTAGCCCATGAACGCAGAAACCACAATCTTGCTCTGGCTCTGCCTTCTCCTATTTTCGACAGAACTTTATTCCGCCAGTCTACAATAATCATATGTCTGAGCATCGGCTTCATCCCTTTCTTCAGTGCCGGATCTGAATAATACTTCTGTTGAAACAACACAGAATTTCTCTCCTTCCAGATCCACCAGATCACCAGGGAGCGTACTGCTGTTGCCACATAACCCCATCCTTTCCCACTGACCAAGGGGTGTTTGAGCTGGCCCAACAATGCCCACTCCAGGTCCGATTCCACTTCCTCCGGGCCTCCCAACGCTTTCCAATGATGAGCCCACCATCTCCAAATACGGAAGGAGAGAGGACAAGTGCCCCACAGGTGTGTGCCATCTTCTGGATGTATGTGGCATCTCGCACATCTCACGTCTACTTCCATGCCTCTTATGAAAAGTGAGACTGCGTCTAGAGGCGCTGCATGTGTTATCAACCACACGACTGCCGAGGCTTTTTTGGTGGGCAGTATCCTACACATCTTCCACTTATCGTTATAGTACTCGACAGTCAGTGGTGAACCTGTATCAGACACAGACATAGCCTCTGATATCTTGGCCGAAGAGCTCCCACTGAGGCGTTGTATGGCCATTCCCAATCTCGGGCCATATTGAGCAATTGTTGGGCGGCCCCTTGCCTTAGGCCATCCGTACAGGCCAACATCCAACTTCATCTGTCTGATTGGGGTGCCATCCATAATTAGGACCGGTTAAGGCGATCCGGCTGCTGAGAATTGCAAAAAGGTCCTGACTTCCTCCAACAGACCAAAGCTTGAGACTTCGCGCTCTTCTTTAAAGACTAGCGTACTGCTGGTAATACCTTCCTCTACCTTTCTCTCCCAGACTTCCGCCTTTCCCTGCGCCACAACTTTGCAAATCTGCTTCTCCCCCCCCAGATTTAGAGCCGGGCTGTACCACCTCCCTTCCGAGGCTTGCTCTTTCAGAAGCTGTTTCCATTCCTCCGGTACCGCCTGTATCAAGGCTTCCCTCCTCCTGTCCACATACCACAATTTACCCAATTTATCCTTCAGTTCCTCCGTACTCCTCCACCTTCCCCGCACTTCGTCCCAGAGATCCTCCACACGCAGTACCCCTCTTTCCGCCCAAGCTCTCCCGAAGCTCCCCCTGCCTGAGATACCAAATGGCAGTCCCTCCTGATTCTTGATGCTCTAATTCTCAAACAGAGGCTGACGGAGTACTTCGTCCCTGGACTGGGGTGGACAAAGGGAACGTGGTGCCAGCGTGCGCCAGGCCTGTAGCACCCCACGCCAGAATACCGACTTCGGCCTTCGTCTCTGATAGGCCGAGGTTGTCATCAACAGCCATACATCCTCCCCATTGTTCAGGCCCCAATCCTTCGCTAAAATGTATTCAGCCAATGCCACCCAGCTACGATCCTCAGTGTCTTGCAGGGCTTTGACCGGCCATTTACCAAGTAATGCCTTGTTCTAACGCACGGGATCTAACACTCCAAGGGCCCCATCATCTTTGGTTGCGGTGAGCTTGTCCCAAGACACTTTAGACAGATGCCCTTGGCCGACCTCCGCTTCCGGTTTCCAAATGTGCTTGGCGGCCACAGATCTGATCTCTTGAGCGGTCTTTTTCCCAAGCGAAGCATTTATGATCAATGCTCTACCGAAAAGGG